GGGGGGGTTCAGATTAATTGTTTTGCTTATATGCTTTGGTGAACATAACCTTGAAGCCTATTGTTTTTACTTGCATATTTTACGTTTTTATGTACGCACAAACAAGCTTCGAGTCTTATGAGACATCTATTGGAAAGAGAAGGAATATTGAGGGACGGTTCTAAGGAAGAGCTGTTTGTTTGAATATCCCGTAACAAGTTATTAGGTGGGGTTTATGTGGGATTTATTTTATTTTTGTTTTTATATTTCCCAGAACAAGAAAGAGAGGAAGAAAGTGAGAGAAGTGGGTATATTGAAGAAGGATCCTGACCAACTAAAAGATCAGATTCAGAAACTAGAAGTGATGAGTAAGTTGTTCCACATATAATTCTTTTCTTTGGATAAGTTGCTGCATTTGAACTCTGTGATACTTCTTCTTATATTATATAATTGAATAAAATGCTCTTTTTTGGATCATTTGCAATTGAATAAAATGCTCTTGCGCTTAACATTTCTGTTGATATTGATAACTCTGGAGATTGTTTTGAGTGACATTGAAGAAAGACTGAGAATTATAAAGTAATGCCTATTCATCACGTTCAGTAAAATAAAAGCAATAAGGAGAGGAAGGACAGAAGTATAATCTGAAGTGGATTAATTAAAGCTAGAAGAAGTGCTTTAGAAAAGTTCATGAGTAACTAAGGAGTGGCTACTAGCAGTAATATAACAATGGACCTGTTGTCATCTTGAGTTAATTGGTTTACATTTTTACATAGTTTTTAGTTGTCTCGTAGTTTTTTACCTGATGGGAATGGTGTAGTGCAAGTTTTTTTTTTTGTTTTTTTGTTTTTTTGGATTATCTTAGTGGTAGTAATAGGATTGTGGTGAGCAGATTGAATCGTATCTTCTTGTAGAATACTAGGTTATACAGCCTGATAACTAGCCAATAATACACTCACTGTTGGTTTGTTATACTGTTAGTTGCATTGCGTTTTTCCTTTACTTCTACGATAACACAATCCATATTGATTATTGTTCGTTACTTAAAATTTGAGGTTTTCTTGCTGGAACCTACCTCTGGGTCAACCAGGAAAAGGGTTGGGAGGATGACATTTTGAATAGCTACTTTCATCCTTTCATGCATTTATTACTTATCAAAAAATATCATCCTTTGATGCTATTACTCGGCAAATAAAATCTGGTCCGGCTGTGGATGGACTAGTTTATTCGTCATGCATCTTTGTTCGGCCAATAAAGTGACATAAGAAGAAACTGTTGCACTGTCTATCAAGAAAGAATAAGGTTGAGCTTGTATTATGATTTCTGATGTTCTGAACCTTTCTGGTTTGTTAAAATCTTAATGTAATTGAATGTAATCAATTTACGCAGAGGCGGAGGGAGCTCTAGACAAAGCAAGGAAACATAAAAAGAGACAACTCGAGGATACACTTAATCTTGTTCTCAAAAAGAGAAAGGTAATATTAATTTGTGTGCCTGGTGCTTTTATTAGGATGAATATATAGAAAAGACATGTAGATTCCTCAGGTATGCTCGTTGAAGATAAGAGGTCCCTGCATTAGGAAATTTGTTGTATTCCATGCCTGCTAATTCTATATTGCTGCTTCTTTTAGTATGCATGCCTCAATGACATTGTCTGATAAGCTAATGCCCATACTAAATGCTCCCTTAACTTAGGAGATAGAACATAGAACTATTGTAGTAACCGCATGTAAGCGGGAGATTATTAGCAACTTGTAATTATGTAGCTTAATATCTTTTTTCACCCATTTCTTTAGATTGTACTTCGATCTACTCTGTAAGAATAGGTATTCCTTCAATCCTTATCTTGTTCTGGGTACTGTTTGAGGTATGTTCCATTGGTAAGATAAGCAACAACAACAACTACCCAGTATAATCCCACCAAGTGGAGTCTGGGGAGGGTAGGATGTACGTAGCCTTACCCCTACCCTTCCGGGGTAGGGAGACTGTTTCCGAATGACCCTCGGCTAAAGAAGGTGAAGGAAGCTCTGATAGCGAGTGATAGCAAGACCAATAGTTAGAAAACTAAATCGGAGATAACAACAAAGAATAGCAAGATAGTTCTGATAACAAGTAATATCAAGATAGTATATTTAGACAGATAAGTCCAAGGCAACAGACGAGAATATGATGAAGTCCTGCTAGCAAACTACGGACCATTGGTAAGATAAGCAAGTAATATAATATTTAGTTGTTATGAAAAGGCTGCTCGGGGTCCCACAGCTATTTATTTGCACTGAGCTAGCCTCTCCATGTTAGGTGTCTTTCTTTCCCGATCATATAATAGGCCAATTAAACTGATCAAGAAGTAATGGGTTAATCAATGTAACCTCCTTATCAAAAAAAAGGG